AACAGTCTCATGACAACTCTTTTATTTTGGTTTATTGGTGGCAATTTTGCATGAATCTGTACGATCTGTTTAAGCCCCACTGTTTTGGTGAAGGAAATGAACAGAAAATGATTGAATGATAAATATATCCAGGAGGCCTTGACGTGAAAGCAAAGAATGAAAATGTGAATATGTTCTTGCAATCACTCCAAAATGATGAAAAATAAGGTAATTTATTTTTCATGTGAATGTATGAACATAAAAATTTTCAAATCCCTGCAAAATGCAAAATGTAGCTTTTTTTTTTTGCGCCAAAACAGTGTCATTGCAATTTGTAACTATTTTTACATTGTGTCAAATTGGTGGCAAATTCACATGAAGGATCAAAGGATCAAATCATATGAAGTTCTCATGAGATTGTCATTTTGCATATAATGACACAAAGTGACCACAAGCTGTCAAGCTCCAAAAAGGACAGAAAAATTATATATAGCTCATATGATTAAGAGGCTATATTTCAAGTCCCCTGAAGTTATATGATTGCTTGTATGGCAATACATGCAGCAGTTTTTGATGTGCACCTGACATATGCATCTTTTCTTTTATATCAATTTATGCCAATTTTGAAAGTACGTTTACATTCATGCATTTGGCAGACATTGTCTAAAGCAACTTGCAGTTCATTGGAGCTATACATGTTAATCAGTATATGAAACCGTGACCGTGATAGTGTTAAAATAGTCTCTTTGCAATTTCAAACGGCAAGCCTGCCTGCCTATACCTGCAAAAAGCACTGTACACCAGTCAATTAGCTTACTAAAATCTGTCAAAGCAAGGAAAGGTGACAATCGTAGGCAGCAAGCATCCAAGATCAAAGAAGACACCAGACGGTTTCTTCAGACATCCACACTTAGCTCAATCTCTCACGAAAAGAAACACCTCCAGTCTAACAGAGCGAGATATTTCAAGATCACACGATTTATTTCCTGTGAGATGGAGGCTTGTGCGCAGTGCCTGACTGAATATCTTAAGGAATAAATTATGAGTGATCAGTTTCGTTTAAAGCAGCTTTTGATCTTGCACTCTGCGACCTATAAACTGTGTCATTCTCTTTCACAGAAACAGATACAAAATGCAAATGTACTGTTTAGAGTAACGTGGAAAACTATAATTACAAGCTGTCTAAATTACAGAAGCAGGATATAATGTGATTATCGGATCAGCTTTAAAACCCAAAATATAGATGTGTGTGTGTGTATTCTAAAGTTGGAGGCAAACTGCTAATAAGACATCAAAGTGGCGTTCTGCAGCCCAGCTTAATGCTACCACAGGCATCAAGGAATTAATGTGAAAAACACAAGTTCTCAACAATGTCTGACAGAATTGGGCTGCGCGGCGAGAACACGTCAAAGAGACGGTGACTCAGACATCCAAATTAGTGGATATCAGCGGTGCTTATGGTGAAAGTCGATGCTAAACCAATTCTCTAACTCTACATGATGTGTCAAGCCTTCCTGCAACGCCCTCTTTCACATCACTAACTCACAGACACATCATGTCAATAAGATGCTCTTTGGTACTTTTGTTTTCGTTATTTTAGCAACTTGGTTGTCAGATTTTCTATGTTATACAACAAATGCCAACAGACAATGGAGAACTGGGAGTACAACAAACAAAAAAAATAAAAATAAATAAAAATAAATAAAATTAAATTAAATTAAATTAAATTAAATAAAACACAAGTTCTCAACAATGTCTGACAGAATTGGGCTGCGCGGCGAGAACACGTCAAAGAGACGGTGACTCAGACATCCAAATTAGTGGATATCAGCGGTGCTTATGGTGAAAGTCGATGCTAAACCAATTCTCTAACTCTACATGATGTGTCAAGCCTTCCTGCAACGCCCTCTTTCATTCACATCACTCACAGACACATCATGTCAATAAGATGTTCTTTGGTACTTTTGTTTTCGTTATTTTAGCAACTTGGTTGTCAGATGTTCTATGTTATACAACAAATGCCAACAGACAATGGAGAACTGGGAGTACAACAAACAAACAAACAAAAAAAATAAAAATTAAATTAAATTAAATTAAATTAAATTAAATTAAATTAAATTACATAAAATTAAATTAAATATCATTTTAATGCTTAAATGTGCATGACTTATTTTATTAAAAATTTATATTTTCATTCAAAATTAATTTATGAACTGGGAAATGGCATATACAAACTGACCATTTTTCCTAAATGTAATAAAAAATATTGAAATGTCTATTTATTTGTCCATTTAAAAAGTAATTTATTTATACATTCATTTTGTTAAATGTAATTGAATTAAATATTTAAATCTCTATTTATTTGTCTGTTTGAAAAGTAATTTATACGTTCATTTTTAATGCAATTTAATTGAATAAAAATATTGAAATGTCTGTTTGATTGTTCATTTAAAAATACATTTATTTATTTAAAATTTTTAAATGTGGTTTAAGTAAACAAAAATTTTTATTTGCTCATGTTAAAAGTCATTTATTTAGTTTTTTAATTAATAAAAAATCATTTAAAATAAATACATAAAATAAATAAGTGGCACTCTTAGTCTTCCGGGACAAAGAAAACCAAGTTTTACCTCTACAATGAACCTTACAAAATAATAATAATAATAACATAGCATTACCATGGTATATATCCCCAAAAAAAAAACTTTTTTTATTGTGATATTGTGATAGTACAGTATTATGAACAAAAACATGGTATTACCACAGTGCCAAATCCAAAAAGACATAGTTAAATGTAAATACATGAAAACATTTAAGGAATCAAAACAGTGCGTTTGATCTTGTCTGTGAAGGATTCATCCCTTGCTATTCTTAAATCTGTGTGTTGCTTTTATGTCTCAAGTGACCTTTGCTTGTATTTGTTAATGCCACTTATGTTCAGTGTAGAATTAGCTTTGGTTTTTATGCCACACAGATAATGATGCTGGCAGGGCATAACAAACTAAATCAAAAAGGTCAAACGAACACGAAACAAAAATGCATTTTCATTATTAATGGTATTCATTCAACACAATCAGACCACAGCATCTCCAAACGTCACACAGATCAGTCTTCCCGATAAACAGGTCAAAGTCTTTATGACGCACAAACGTCTACCTGTCAGACCTCATACCTGTGAGTTTTCTGCTCCGTCCCTGATCACTAAATATATCTGTAAGAGCCTCCGGCAACTGCTAAAACATGCAGATCACAACACTTGAATAAACTGGAATCAATGATGTATCAGATGTCTGCTCTTAAACTGGTTCAAAAGTTTGGGGTCCAAGATTTTTATTGTTTTTATAATGCATCTCTAATGCTCAATAAGGCTTATAATTTAAAATGACGATTTTCTATTTCCATGTTTTAAAATAATTTGATGGAAAAGCCGTATTTTCAGCATCGTTCCTCCAGTCTTCAGCATCACATGATCTTCAGAAATCATTCTAATATGCTGATTTGCTGCTCAGGAAATTTATTTATTTATTATTATCATCATGGCTGAAAACTATTGTGCTGCTTAATATTTTTTGTGGAAACCATTATCCAGGATTTTTTTTTTTTTTATGAACACAAAGTTCAGGATGAATATTTGTTACATTTAAGTGTCGTTACTGTCACTTTTGATCAGTTTAATCCAACCTTGCAGCTTTTAAAGAATTAATTTCTTTAAAAGAATAAATCAAATCAAATATTATTGAGCACAATCTAGTAGTGTACTGTACTCGTGAGCAGTGTTGGGGGTAACGCATTACAAGTAACGCGAGTTATGTAATCAGATTACTTTTTTTAAGTAACTAGTAAAGTAACGCATTACTTTTTAATTTGTAAGGAAATATCTGAGTTACTTTTTCAAATAAGTAACGCCAGTTACTTTGTTTCCATGTATTGAGTGACAGCTCTGGTGTTGCCATGGTGACAGAAATCAGGAGTAAGTGCAGAGCGTTGTGTGTGAACATGATCTTACTGTAGTTCTAGACTCAATATCAACATGTGTTTACTCATCTCACTGCACACAAACACATTCAGTGTTCCTCAGAAAGAATATAAAACAGTCAAATGCAAACTCAGAATATTATACAAACCTGCAATAATTAAATGTTAAATAAGACAAATATAATTTATTAATTTATTAATCCCATTTTATTAACCAATGTCTTTGCTGCTGACCTTCGATGATCCAATTCAATCATACTAGGTAACGTAATTCGTTTTTAGGGAGTAACGCAATAGTGTAATGCATTACTTTTAAAAGTAACTTTCCCCAACACTGCTCGTGAGCTCTACATCATTAAACCATACTGTTCGTTTTTGTTGTTGTTTTGCCATAAGGTTGCTGGCAATAAATGTAATATTTTCAGAACACCAGGCTACTTTTGAATGTCCATCAATGGAAAAAAACATGCTTTTTGGGCTTCATGATGATGTAGTTATTATGGCATCTACCAGCAGGGGCCAAAGCACAAATATGCCTGCACATGTACAGTACACTGTAAAAAAAAAACAGAGTTGAACATGTTCTGCTGAAAAGATGTTAGTAGTTAACTGCACTCTATGACTGGCACAGCATGCAGAGAAAATTGCTGCTTAACGGGAAAAACATCACTTTAGACAGGCTTTAGAAATTTCAGCTCGAAAATAGCAAATGATAACAGCGTTTTCATTTTGGGGTGAAATATCTTTTAATATACTTTTAGACTGTACTTAACCGCTTAATATTCTATAATTTTTATTGTACAGGTTTAGATAATGTTTATTTATTTATTTTGCTATTACAGTTACATACTGCCTATAACATCTAGCACATTTACATTTTATTTAGAAATTGTTTCTAAAATTAATTTTTGCGATATACATAACTTTTAAAACGTCTCCACTGGATTGAAAGTAAGCCTGAATATGATTGGCCGTTTGAAGCACATGATGCATTTCCTTAAACCTAATTGGCTGATTCATATGAACAGTTTGTTGTCAGACGGAAAGCTAGATGCGTTAGAATTAGTAATGCTTTCCTCATGTCCTGAAAGTACACATACAAAAACACATTTAAAATGCAGTAAAATACATATACAGATGTCTTAAAGATTGAAGGCTGTAAAAAAAATAAGTCGTTTATATTAAATGTAATCCAGGTGCTCTTGGGTTCCCTTTAGAGCGGAAGGATATTTGCGCCGTTTTAACGTGCGGTAAGTTTGAACTTTGAATATTTGTTTTTACATATTTAACGGAACTTTTCGATATCTAAACAAAGTTGTAGTTGTGTTTAGTTACACTCCTGTGTAAAATAATTCAGATATGTGACGTTAATCTTTCTTAAAGTAGATGTTACACTTCGCTAGCCTGATGTTTTGAGATGCTAACAGACGTTTTAGCATGACACTCTCTCATCTTCGATTCATTTATTTTCTCAGATCTCATATCTTATGTACTGGACTCAAGAATGGAGGTTTCTGAAGCCATGGACAGCAGAACACCATTGGCAGCCCTGTGTCTCTCTCAACGGAACAGTGAAGCTGGAGATGTGGATTTCTCAAAACTTACTCCTTCACAATTTGGCATATCAACAAACAGCTTCTTGCCGTCCTCCAAGATTAAAGGTTAACAACAATAAACTGGTTTTAATAATGTTCTTCCTCATGTATCACTGATTCATTGTGTTATTCTGAGTTCTTAGAGTGTGGAAATGAACACTTTTTTATTCACTTATTGTTAATTTACTTTGTTTTATTTTGCATGTTTGTATTGTATTGAATGGATTTGAAATCAAACTGAAGAAGCACTGTTAAAGGGATAGTTCACCCAAAAATGAAAAGACCTACGTTCATCTTCGGAACACAAATTAAGATATTTTTGATGAACTCCGAGAGCTCTCTGATAGCTCTCCCATAGACGGCAAGGTAACTACCACCATCAAGGCTCAGAAACGTAGCAAGGACATCGTTAAAATAATCCATGTGACATCAGTGGTTCAACTATAATTTTACAAAGCAGCGAGAATACTTTTTGTGCACAAAGAAAACAAAAATAACGACTTTATTCAACAATTCGTCTCCTCCACGTCAACATATAGTGCCATTTTGAAGAGTATTACATGCGTAAACAATGTACGCTGTTCTGTGTCAGCTGCACCGTACGCGGATACATTGTTTACATAATTTACGCTTTGATCTAAGCGTAAACAGCGTATCTGCGTACATGCATATGTTGTTTACGTATGTGATGCTCTCCAAAATGGCGCTATAGGGTGACGCGGAGAAGACGAATTGTTGAATAAAGTCATTATTTTTGTTTTCTTTGTGCACAAAAAGTATTCTCGTAGCTTCGTAAAATTACGGTTGAACCACTGATGTCACATGGATTATTTTAACGATGTCCTTGCTACATTTCTGAGCCTTGATGGTGGTAGTTACCTTGCTATCAGAGAGCTCTCGGAGTTAATAAAAATTATCTTACTTTGTGTTCCGAAGATGAACGAAGGTCTTACGGGTTTGGAACGACATGAGGGTGAGTAATTAATAACAGAATTTTCATATTTCTTATCCCTTTAATACTGAGTTTTCTCCTCAGATAAATCCAGAGTTGCTCAACTGAAGGCCAGGAGGAGATCCACGATTGGGGTCCGGGGATCTCCAGAAACAAACTCCCTCATCTGCTTCAGAGCCAAACAAGCCACAAAAACTCCTCCACGAACACCACAGGTAGACGGATGGTGTAACACAGCTGATTTTGCTTTAGGACCCAGGTTTTTTTTACATTGGACATCAACACAGTACCAGAGTGTTTACCAAACAAAATTAATCATAATGCATTTAAACATTGAAGGAAAAGTTCACCCAAAAATGAAAATGTGAAAACCTGAGCCCATTCAAGAGGAATATGAGGTTTTTTTCATCACTGGAACAGATTTGGAGACATTTAGTGAATGGGTGTCCTGTAAATTAGAGTCCAAACAGCTGATAAAAAACATCACAATAATCTACAAGTAATCCACACCACTCCAGTCCACTTGCAGAAGTGGAAATCTGTGTGTTTGTAAAAAACAAATCCATCATGTAATAATAATTTTAAACTGTTGCTTCAGGCCATAATCAACAATATTGCAGCCATCCTCCAGTAAAAAAAAAAAAAAAGTCCATCTCCTGTTGTCCTCACACATCATAATCATCATATTTGTTTTGGACTGTGTTTGCTTGTTAATGGTTCTTGACCTGTGCATATTTCTCCTCTGATTCAGACAAGACAGCTTTTTCACCGGAGAAAGCAATATTATGGGTAGATATTTTACCCTGGTTCCCGAAGCAAAAGTTCAAAACAGCTTAATTATGAATTTGTTTCTTACAAACATGCAGCTTTCCACACAAGATGTGAACTGATGGACTGGAGTGCTGTGGATTATTGTGATGTTTTTATCAGCTGTTTGTACTCTCATTCTGACGGCACCCATTCACTGCAGAGCATCCATTGCTGAGACACTGATGCGATGCTACATTTCTCCAAATCTGATGAAGAAACAAACTCATCTACATCTTAGGTGTCCTGAGTGTATTTTTTTGGTTAACTGTTTCTTTAATATTACCGTGAACTACACCCAGTTACACAAAATTATCTTCACGCTAATTTTGTGAATACAAATGTGATTTACCAGCCTAACCCATGGAATATATGCTGAGCAAATTATGTTCTAGAAAGCCATATTACCAAATGACAAAGTTTGAGTTTGATGTCAACACTTACAGATATGAGCCTATTTAATTTGCTGTCCAAATTGCATGATAATATGTGACCCTGGAGCACAAAAGCAGTCTTAAGTCGCTGGGGTATATTTGTAGCAATAGCCAACAATACATTGTATGGGTCAAAATTATTGATTTTTCTTTTATGCCAAAAATCATTAGGATATTAAGTAAAGATCATGTTCCATGAAGATATTTAGTAAATATCCTACTGTAAATATGTCAAAACTTAACTTATACATCTCAATTTAAAAAAATTGGTTTTGTGCTCCAGGGTCACATATAGCTATTTGCATTTAGCATTGTTTTTTCCCCCCCATTGTCTACAACCCACTAGTTATACCTCTGGTATAAGACAACATGCATGTGTTTCAAAGAGTGGACCACATTGTTTGTCGTCATGATGGTGATGATGAAGGCTGTTTGTATTTTGCAGTTGTGACTTTGTGCTCTGTCCTCATGAAGCTTTTGCAGGGGAGTCCATTTCTTTCACGCTGTGACTCTTTGAAGAAGAAGATGGCTGCTTTCCAGTGTCTAATGGAGGAGGTCGAAGAGAAGGATGAACAGAAGATAAATGAGGAGAATGAGAGTGATAAAAGCACTTTGGCTAAAGAGGGTAAGAACGGTCAGTCTCTCCTCAAAATGTTGACTGCTGCCAACACAAAAACAGAATGTCTTTCAGATGCAGTCTTGTAGGACCAGATGAAATTGAAGTAATTAAGAGAATGTCATACCGTCATTGCTTGCCATTTCCAGATAATAGAACTCATTCAGAATAAACTAATTTGACGCAGTTTGATTTCTTCCATTGATCCCAGTTAGAGCGCGGCAGGATGATGTGCAGAATAAATCAACTGATGATTATGAGTCTTAAAATAAACATGTTCACATTTCAGAGAGCTTTCAGTGTTAATAAAAAAGATTGAAAGAGCATATCCAGTCTTTCACTTAGAATAATCTGTTATCATTTCAGGTTTTGACATTATGAATATTTAAGCTTTTTTTAAAAAGTGTAAACAAGACATTTGAGGGATGACAGCATAGTTATTTCAAGACATCGCATCTATTTTTTTAAATTCATAATGTCAACCTTGAACACTGGATGCCTTTGTTTTTTTTTGTGTGTTTTTTAACACTGAAAGCCCTCTGAAATATGAACATATTTGTGACCCTGGAGCACAAAACCAGTCTTAAGTGTCAATTTTTCAAAATTGAGGTTTATGGATCATCATCATCTGAATAAATAAGCTTTCCATTGATGTATGGTTTGTTAGGATAGGACAATATTTGAAAATCTGGAATCTGAGGGTGCAAAAAAATCAAAATATTGAGAAAATCGCCTTTAAAGGGGTCATATGATGCGATTTC